AGTAGCAGTAGTAGTAGTAGCAAGTAGTAGTAGTAGTAGTAGTAGTAGTAGTAGTAGAGTAGTAGTAGTAGTAGTAGTCGTCGTCGTCGTCGTCGTCGTCGTCGTCCTCGTCGTCGTCGTAGTTGTTGTTTTTGTTTTTGTAGTTTAGTTGTAGTTGTTGTATGTGCCAGTAGGAGATGCTGCAGCAGAGCATGTGCAGCCACCGTCGAGGCCTCTGCCCCACGCTTCTTGAGGACGGGCTGTTCGACTGGCGAAAGGTCAGACACAGAGACCTCTACTTCACCTGTTCAGAGGAAAACACGGACACGTGCCAGATAAACGCTACACCCCTTGCGAGTCGTCATCCGGCACTCAGGACCCACAGTCATGGAATCCAGCAGGATTTTCGGCTACTTGCAATGCGTCTTATCTTGAACTTGCATGCAACAAAGCATACGAGAAATGGTTCAGGGTTTGTGGCCCTCCGACTATATGAGTTTTGCAAGCCTCTGGAATACCTGCACGTCCTTGAAAGAACCTGGTTATGCTACAAGCAACGGAGGCAGTTCCATGTGCTTGCTGAAGTAGAGATTGCATTATTGAATTTTCAAGCGCAGTGGGTCGTAAGATTTTGGTGCGTGTAAACACCCTGCCTGGATGCTTGCCAAGATCGCTTGCTGCTCGAGTACATCCTGTCCAGCTGCAAGAAAGCTGTGCTTCGGCCTTAAACCTAGCACTGTTCATCGCAACAGCAACACCAGCACACGATAGGAATTGCAAAGATGACGGCAATCCTATGAAGGCAGCTGCAAGAACAATCTAGTGGCAACTGCAACAGCAACGCTCACAAATGACTATCCGCATCAACTAATGTAACACCAACAGCGGATCAGGAGTGGGATACCTCAAGATGATAAACCTGGTGGCACGTGATGAAACATTATCATAGCCATAGCAATACACAGCAGTTAAGCTGCCAGTGCTACGAGTAGCAGAAATGACCATTGACCATGATAAACGTACACAATTCCCTAAACCCTAAACCCTAAACCCTAAACCCTTAACCCTAAACCCTAAACCCTAATGAAACAGAAGCTGGAAAATGAGAGGCTGAGGCTCTGAACTCCGAAGCTCTGTGTTACGCACCGAAGGCCTGAACCCCAAACCGAATTTTGTGGGGTTTAGGGTTTAGGGTTTAGGGTGTAGGGTTTGCCTAAGACCCCCCGACATTGGTTCCTCTTCCCGGAGGCTCCCTTCAACGACGCAGGCAAGCTCGACATTTTCAATTCTGAAGCCTGTAAACTGACACCCTGCAGCCTCAGCCAATCTCAAGCCTCGAAGTCGCAAAAATCAATATGTTGCTCTGTGAGGGTTTGGGGTTTAGGGTTTAGACAAAATTGTTACCATGACTAGCAATGACATGTGAAGTGCCGAAGGAGGAACTGAGGTATCAGTATGTGGTGCCTAGCGCTCCCATGATTTACAATGTTCCCGGCTCGAGCCTTAGCCCTACTTCCTGAAACGCCAACACATGCAGTCGAAAGAAATGCTAAGTCCTTAAACCCCCACCCTGAACCATAATGTAGGGGCCCATTGTACTATAACTATAATAAGCAGCCCCCAAAAAAGTATAGGTAATTATTCAGGCCCCTACATTGCAACCCAAGCCAGATCCTTGCCAAGCCTGGGCCCCGGCACGCAGCCTGAGGCTTCCAACGTTTTGCTTCCGTCTCTCACGTGGGCGCCAGATTTTGGGTCGAAAGAAGGGGATTAAGGAGTTCAATAGGGTTCTGGTGTTGATCAACGTTTTATGCCGGGAATATCGGGGTATACTACTATACTACACCATCCTTATCCCAACCCCTATATTACGGTGGGGTTTGGGATTGCCGCAAATGTCAGTGTAATCAGCGCTGCGATGGGATGAACAGGTTCTGCTGCGGATAAAAAGGAAGTGCGGTTTTAAGTGCAAGAGAATATGAGTTGCTGTCATGACTTCTTCGTGACTGGTGCCTGCAAGGACATGTATGTTCGGTTCCCCGGCCGCTGCGAGCCAATGGATTTGCACTTCACACACAACTCTCTACGCTGTGAGCTCATGGCATGTGCAAAACCATCAGCACGACTGGGATGCTAGCATCTCATCGGACGTGCTCCGTGACCTCTGCCCCGGTTGAGCCTGGGCTTCGATTTAGGGTGTGGGCCTATCTTCCTTGCTTGGAGGTTCATGGGTAGTTATAAGTAGGGTTATAAGTAGGGTAACTAAAATTATAACCCATATTAGGGGACTTATAACCCACTTAGAACTACCCATGAACCTCCAAGTGGGCACGTAGAGAAACCTGAGGGCAAGCCTATCAGTCAGTACTTATTTATGGAAAGGACATATATTATTCAACCAGATGTAAATGGCTAATTGCACATGAACTGAATGCATGTATGTAGTTACATACGTACCTACTCATGTATGTATGTATATGTATGTA